TTCTACCCGGCCCGAGGATTGAACCTTCGACCTCCCGGTTCTGAAGTGAGCGGCGTACAGTTTGATCCGCACCGCGTATGCGGGTGATGAGATGTGTGTAGCGCTGCTACGTGCTCTACGGAGCAAAGCGTTTGGAGACTCGGACAAGAAATTGTTATCGAGATTGCGTGCACGATTGCACCGATATTCGTTGGATAACGGCTTGCTATATTATAGCACCAATTCAACGGATAGACCACGAATTGTGGTTCCTCATGATGAGGATTTGAAATATCGCATCTACTAGTTGTACAAATGGACGAGCACCTATATGCGCACGTGTGTGACATGTCGACGGGTGAAACCCTCTCCAAATGCGGCTACGTCGCTGACCAGCCTACCGGTACCCACTGGGTGCTGACAATTCATGAGTTTGGACCGTATGTTTGGCCTGCCGACAGTTTCAACGGGTAACACGCGTGTCGTGGTATTCGTCGACCGGTTGAGCAAGATTGCTCATTTGGCGGCGGTGCCAGACACCATCGACGGGTCTATACAGCAGCGCTGTTCGAGGATTGTGTAATCCGTCAACACAGACTCCCAGACTCGATTGTCTTTGATAGAGACCCCCGTTTCACAGGAAAAATTTGGTCGACTATCTTCAAGGTGCTCGGCACCAAGTTGAATATGTCGATAGCGGATCATCCGCAGACCGATGGTCAAAGCGAAAGGGTAAATCGCGTCATCGAAGACGTTCTTCGCAGCGTCTGCGTTGAGACGCCGAGGTGTTGGAGCGCCATGTTGCCACTCGTAGAGTTGCACTGAACAATACAGTGCATACGTCTACCGGCTACACGCCATTCTATGTGAACGGGCTGATTCACCCTCGCGTCCCGCTAACGCCGCCATCCTATGGCTTAGAGCTTGGTGGGGGAGAAATAGCCGAACGGCTAGCTGATGTCAGCCCCCTTAACATCCGTAAAGAAGTCGATGACTTCTTGTCTACCAGACTGAGTGTCCTACAACACGTTCGCGATTCGATGGCTGAAAGCCAAGACCTGCAAAAGGAATATGCAGATGAAAATGGAAGAGGAAAAGTGGAAAGCTTTAAGGTCGGGGGCCTGGTTTTATTAAATTCTAAAAATCTGCCTACACATGCAGCCTCTGCTGTCTTCAGGACGAAGCTTCGTCCACGGTTCATCGGACCGTTTAAGGTTGTGGCCAAGCGGGGCCTAGCGTTTACGCCAAACCTTCCCAAACGGATGCGCACCCACCCGGAGTTCTACATGGGTTTGATTAAGTCAAATCGGGATCCGGCGCAAGTGAACGCAGAAGCGTTGGCGCCGGGGCGGATTCTACGGCCCCTCGGTCACCCATTATTGAACAAGCAACTGGTTCTGAGGACGGAGTGCAGCAACCTCCATTTCTAATGGTGCCAAGCGCTCCACCGTCGCATGCAGCAATGCATTCGCCTACGTTACGGCTAGGAGTCGCTCCGACACAGCGCATTAGTCCTCAAGGTGAGGCTGCCGGCGCACGACATGCTTTAAATCGTCAAGAGCGTCCGCACAGCGATATGCTACTTC